CACTCCAACACTACACTTCCTTTTTTTATTCCTAGCAAGAACCGCACACAATCCTCCTATGTAGAACCTCAATGGAACTCAAAAGCAAGAGCTCCGAGACACAAGAAAAAATCATGTATAGACACGAAGAAAGGATTGGGGGTCGTTCTTTCAACACCATTAAACTCACAAGCGAAAGGCTCCTAACATGAGAACATCCCTCGAAGTCACAAGGCTCCAAAGAGTTGACTAGGGGATAACACATATCGGGACAATCAACATTTGGGCGTGGACTAATCCTATGCCTCCATCATACTCGCTATTGACAACTGTTATGTTACTCGCCATGGTAAGAGGAATCTAAGCACACAAGAAGAAAACGATCGGCTCAAAACTCACATGGCTACCTAGTCACCCAACCATTTATTCAAATTCACAAAACACCATGCATGGAAATTGTAATCAACAAGTAATCAAGTCAAGACATCCATTCATATATGCACTCATGAGAACTAAGCCTTTGCACTATCCTAATGGACTTCTTAGTCATCATCATAGGACATACTCGATCACATGCAACAATTCAAGGTTAAAACCAATAGTCACGAAATTCTCCCACTAACCGGCCACTTTGATCATGAAAACATTACTTGGAGCCCTCAAATTTTCAAATTTGGGCAAACAACAAGGCTCCAAGCATCAATCACACTCACACAAGCATAATAATAAACTACCCCCCCCCCCCCCCCACCCACACTTAAGCTCCACATTGCCCTCAATGATGTAAGATAGGGGTAGAAAGATGTTACCCCTTTGCTTGGTGAGTGAAAGTTGGAATTGTTTTCGGGGTAGGAGATTTGGAGCGAAGACAAAAACACACTTACACAAACACAATAGGACTCGCCAAGGCGAGGTTATTACACAACACAATACGATAGTAGTAGTAGCAGTTCATAGTCACAAACACATAAAAGAAAGAAAAATGAGTTCAGAGTTCCAAGTGGAGTAGTGGGGCAAAAGGAATCGGCTCTGCTACATATCTCCCTCGTCGGCTCTTTCTCACTGGGTCGAAGGCCCCGACTCATCATCTAGAATGAGATCCTGGCATTGAGCCATCTACTGAAGGAGGTCGTTCTGCCGGTCGAGGTGGGAAGTCACTCCCATAACATAAGTCTCGAGGCGATCCATCTTATGGACGAGGGGATCACCAGATGCTCTAGATGATGAAGCTGCTCCTGGTGGTGGTATAGGGCACTGGGGCACGGGACGCCGGCGGTGGACGGGTGCTCGAGTAGGTGGCTGCTTTTGGGGGTGGAATCTCTACATTTGGCTCCACTGGAGCCGAGTCAGCTGCTGGGTGCATGGCTCCCGAAGGTTGGAGCGCGTCGAGGTACTCGATCCCCCCTCCTAAAGTACTAGTTTCTGGTTATAGAGTGTATCCACTAGGAAGGGCTCGGTCCTCCCAACGATGGAGCATCGCTCCACGTCCACTCTGAAGTGGCGAGCAATCCTCGTGATGCCGCCCCCATGTGCATGGTGTCCACCATGTTCGCACCAGACACCGGGCGAAAGAGGTGGCTATTAGTGATCTTAGATGGATCGGCTCCGCAGGATGCCTCGTGAAGAAGAGAGCCAGGAGCCCTCTGTTCGTCATCAGATGTCCTGACTGCAGGCTGGGGACGACCGAACAGGTGAGCAACATGAACTCCACATACGGCCAGCTCCTCTTGCCGGTCGAGACTACATGGGCGAACGTGGAGTAGAACTCTACGCATAGCTCATGGTAGATGAGCAGAAGGCGCCACTGGGGGTGACAAACGACCCCTGACATTTCGGCTCGACACCTGAACATGTTAAACATGTCCAGGTCTAGCCGCCAATGTGGCCCGACTGGGCTATCACTATGGTAGGCGAACTTGTCGCCAAACTGCGCATGGTTCACCATATAACTGATGAACTCATGCTCCTCGTTAAGCATCCTGCAAAATTTGGCAAACAAACACCATACGTGGAAACATTTGTTAAGCACAACTCATTGGGAGGAAAAAGAAATCCCCCCACACTTATCTCCACTATGGATTTCAAACATTTAACTCAACACACGGTGGCATGGTTGTGGGTATTTCAAGGTTCATCTACAAAAAAAAAAAAAAAAAAATTTGAACCCCAACCCATGCCACGGTGACTACCATCCACCATTCAAGCATAACAATGCACATTCATTCACAAATTAGCACTTGGTGGACAAAATCTACAAATAAAAGCGATTTGAATCAACAAATGTCCACCAAGGCTCAACTAAGCTCATGCAAAGTCAATCATCCATTCAATCATCATTATTCATATAATTCCTCGCCCTAATTCTAAATACAACATTCAAGGCACTAAAGTTCTTCTCACTTCACTACCTAATCCGATTCTCCCAAAATAAATAAGGTAGAGTTGGAAAACCAACCTGGAGACACAAGTAGGAAGTAGGATGAAGTGAGTTGAGGGCAAGGAAGGCTAAAAACAGTTGAAAACAGCCCGGAGAAGGATCACCGGAGCTTCGTCAGAAGCTCGCCGGACTCTCGTCGGAGGTTCACTGGCGGCGACTTTGCCAGAAAACTTTTGTACCCAAATCCCCCCAAAATCCAGGCGAAGGCCGCTTTTGATGAGGGAAGAATGGGTCTGAGGTTTGATTTGGATTTTGCTCGCTGGAAGTGGGTGAAATGGCCTGAAAACCGTCAGAGATTCGCGGTTTTCCGGCGAGATTTGAATTTTCCGACGAGAATTTGGGTCGTGAAGTGAAGGTTCAACGTTCACACCCCTTTTATAGACGACGCTAGCAGTTCACAGACGCGTTTGCCAGTTCACGGTCGTTAAGACCGTGAACACAACAATGCAGTTGTGAACTGTGGATGGTCGAAAACTGGCACGCTTGTGGAAGTGCCTCGTTCACAAACGAATGTAAGACCGTGAACATGGCAATCCGTCCGTGAACATCAGCTAAAACATGGCATTTCTAAAAAATTTTGACTCGGCCTAGTCCCATCGATCACGACACAACCTCAAAACGCAAAACCACAAAGCATGGCACAGGGATACAACTCAATCACTAGAACTCTTCAATCGACACACAAAAATGAAAATAAGGTAAAGAAAACGAACCTACGTTGGGTTGCCTCCCAACAAGCGCTAAGTTAACGTCACTAGCTTGACGTTGCAGATCTATCATGTTTTGGAACATGATGCCACCGAGAGTGGATCTACCACGTTCTCGGGGCGAGGCATGTAGCCTCCCAACTTAAGCTCCATAGGGTGGCCTTCTTGGCGGACGACCTTAGCTTTGCCCTTCTCCTTCCTTCGGGCCAAAGCTTGCTTCACCTTTTCCCTCCAAGCTTTCTTCTTCCTTTTCTTTGGGCTTATTAGCCTCCTTAACTTCCTGCTTAACATCACCACAAGCAACACAAGTAATAGTGGGGTTCGCCTTGAGAGGCTCTCCTCCACTCATATTCAAGTCATCTGATACCAATTCCTTAACATCCTCACTTCTAACCTTAGGTTCAATTTCAAGAGTGATCCTCTCCTCACCATCCCTCAGAATCAAGGTCCCCTCATTAACATCAATTAACGCCTTGGAGGTGGCAAGGAAGGGACGTCCTAGTATGAGTGGCATGTCCGAGTCCTCACTTATTATCAAGGATCACAAAATACGTCGGATAGCAAAACTTGCCTACTCGTACTAACAAGTCCTCCACGATGCCCACAGGGTTAATAACCGAGCGGTCGGCTGACGTGACACTAAGCTTAGTGGTCTTGAGTTCACCTAGGTCTAACCTTTTGAAAAGCATATAGGGCATCACATCGACAGTCGCTCCTAAATTCTCCAAGGCATTATCTATGTGATGGTTACCAATACTAAGAGGGATAGTGAAGCTACCTGGGTCGGGTCGTTTCTTGGGAAACCGGTTGAGGATGAAACCCGAGCACTCCTCGCCTAGAGTCACGTTGGTGAGGTCTTCGAACTTCGGTTTCTTGGTGAGAAATCTTTTGAGGTACTTTGCATACCTTGGCATGTGAGCCATAGCTTCAAGGAAGGGGATGTTGAGGTGGAGATTTCGGAGCATCTCCATGAAGCCTCCACATTTCTCTTCCAACCTCTCCTTGTACACCCTTGTGGGGAAAGGAAGAGGTGGCTTGTACTTAGCCATTGGAGATGGCGTCGGTGATGCCTTCCTTGCCACTTCTTTCTCTCACCTCGAGGGCCCTTCATCTCCATCCTTGGGGTTGGAGTCTTCCTTCTCAGTGCCTCCCTTGGCAAAAACTCGCGGAGTCACCTTCCCACTTCTCAATTGAATCGCATTCACCCCGCCATGATCCTTGGGATTTTCCACGATTTGAGAAGGTAGAGCTCCCTTTGGTCTCTGAGTGAGGATCCCGACAAGATTGCCGATTTGAACCTCCAAATTTTGAAGGCTTGCTTGATGGCTTCGGAGTCTCGCCTCAACCGAGGTAAACTTGGTAGTCGCCACATCCATAAATTGCTCAATCTTCGCAAACTTCTGAGAACTCGTGCTCACAAAGGTATTCACTAGGTCTTCAAGTTTGTACAACTTGTCGGTTTGTTGTTGTTGTTGAAACCCTTGACCACTTTGTGCTTGGTAAGGTTGTTGGAAGCTCGAGTTTTGGAATTGAGGCCTTTGTTGGATGAAAGTTGGCCGAGATTGATAATTGCCCATAGGTCCTTGGAAACCAGGGGGTCTCGGATTAGTCGGGGACGACACAGCAAAGTTAGGATGATTTCTCCACCCGGGATTATAAGTATTGGTATACGGGATGTTCCCCCTAGCATTGGAAACGAAATTGACTTGTTCCTCCGGAGTGCTTGCTTCCTTCATTGCTTGGCAATACACTATCTCATGGTTAGTGCTTGAATACCCATCACAAGATATCACCGCTCTCTTGCATTGCTTCTTATCCTCAAGAATCACCTCGATCTACATGTCAAGCTTTGCTTCAAGTGGAGCACTTGCTCCCACACTTCGCACTCCTCTTTCTTTGCTTCTCTTCCCACTTCTCGTCAAGCCCCAATCGTATCCTTTAAGATTCATATCTTCGAGCAACTGGGTGACTTGAGGTGGAGTCATGTTCAACAACCTCCCTTGGCAAAGAGAGTCAATGAGGATCTTATCTTCATGTATAAGACCACCATAGAAAGGTCTTTCCAAAATTGCTCATCGAATCCATGGTGAGGGCATTGAAGGAAATAATTGGAGAATCTTTCCCAAGCATCTCTCAAGGTCTCATCTTCGTCTTGCTCGAATGGGTGATTTTGTTTCTCCACTCGGCCGTCTTCGAAGGAGGGCAATAGTGGGTCCTGAATTTGTTGATAAGATCATCCCACGAGGTGATTGAGCGAGGCAGCCGGTTGTTGAGCCATCGAAGTGCCTTCCCCGAAAGGGAGTAGGGGAAAAGCCTTAATTGCAAACCTTCTGCCGACACGCCATTTATCTTCAAACTCCTTGCGAGCTCAAGAAACCTTTGCACATGCTCCCTTGGTGATTCGCTTTTGCGCCCATGAAACAAAACATTGTTTTGAATCATAGTCACGAGGGTCGGCTTGATTTCAAAGTTGTTGGCCGCCACGAGTGGATGTAAGATAGGTGATTGAATGTCCTCCAGCCATGGGGCCATGTAATAACACATTGTCCTTGGGGCTTCCTCCTCTGCCGCCTCATCATTTTGGTTGTGAGATTGGGCGGCTCCCCCTCCTTGTTGGTTCTTCGCCATCTCAACTCCAATATCAAATTCACCTTCAACTCCTTCAACTTCTACTCCACTAACTCCGTGACAAAATTGTTGTCCCCTTTCTTCACTTCTCCTCCTTGCTTCCGCTAACTCCCTCTTCCGAGCTAGGAGTTGGAGAGTCCTATTGATGTTCTCGTCAAGTGGTACCAAAGGCGCCGAATTGCTCCGGGTCATGCACCTCCCTACACACACTTAGAGAACAACACCACGTCTAGCACAAGCAAAACACTTACACAATCAAAGCTAAAAAACTAAAAGCTAGATTAACACCAAACAACCTTTTCAAGATAACGGACAGAAGTTCCCCGGATACGGCGCCAAAAACTTGACTCGTCCCCAATATCACAACAAGATCCCACCTAAGGCCCAAGTATAAACCTTAGATGGGTGCAATACAGGGCAAGGATGTTTAAATATCAACCCGGGCTGGTCCATGTATGCCTACTTCAATTGTTTGAAACATTATCTAGCGGATTGGTTTTTAGTTGAAAACTATAAGGATTAAATTAAAACAAAGCAAAGGTAAATGGTTTGAAAGCTATAGATGAGAAGGATCACTCGGGTATTGCTTCCCCCTAACTACTACCATAACTCGTGGACTCAAATGGGTTGTTATAAGCGAGGCAATCGTGAATTGCTAGGAAGTCAACTATGGTTAAAGATCACACTCTCAATTGCCAAACCAAGGGATACATTATAGGCTACTAGAGTAGCCCTCTTGGTTAAGGCAATTGAGGGTTGACTTACCTTCTCCCTCAAACTGATGGTTGGACGGCTTAATCACGATTAATCTAGTCCTTTAATTCAAGATAGAGGTTTTCCCTACATTAACCTAGGTAGGTGGCTTGAAAAGCCCAAGGAGCCCCAACTCAATTGAGCCTCTTTGGAAGGGGGGGGGGGGTTCCTTTAAACCTAGGTTAGAACGGCCAATTAGATTGCCAAGTACAAACATGCACAATCATCATGAAAAATACCTCCATCATTAAATTAAACAACACCCATAAAGAATCATTCAATTCACACAACAACTACATGGCAAATAGTTAGGGTTTCACAACACCCAAGTGAAAAAGGATACTACCCCATGCTAGAAAGGGGAAGAACACAAAAGAAAGAAGTAGAAACCATCATGGTGATGCCTCCACTCTTCTTTGTTCTTGTGTTGATCTTCTCGTAGGGAGATTCTTCCCAATTCACCACTTGAAGCAACCCTAACCTCCCTTCTTCTTTGGTTCGTCCATTCTCTCTATAAAATATGAAGAAGAAGATGCTTTCTCACACTTGGGCTCTCCCTCTCTCTTCCTTCCAGCTCACATTATATACTGGGATCGGGCTCAGTTCACGGCTTCAGTTGACGGTCGTGAACTCCTCAACACGTCCGTAAACTCGGATTATTGTGTCGAAACGCACCGCTTCACTCAATTGAGTTCACGGCCAACAACTCCAGTTCACGGTCTTGGTGACTATGAACTCACTCGGCGTTAGTAACCTCTGAAACCTCCCTAGACGCTTTGCGGTTTGCGGCTCACGGTTTATGGCTCCAGTTTACGGCCTTAGGAGATTGTGAACTCTAATGGGAAACCGTGAACTTGGCCTAAATCACTCTCTTTGCCCGGTCTTTGCTCCTTTTCTTCCAACTTTCGACTCCGGGGCTGGTTTCACCTATTAGATCCCGAAACACGAGAAACCTAGCGTAAAACCACCCTTTTAGGAGCACAAATGCCACAAACACCCAAGGAAAACGGGGATAAAATGTGTACAATTAGGCCCGAATCAATGCTCATTTGGGAATGTTGGGATATTTGATGTTGAATAGTGTTTGAATTCTTTGCATGCTAGTTATAGGTTGTAATTGTGTGACTTTGGTATGCTGAATTGGTTCCATGAATACACAATTGTTTTTGTGATGGCATGTATCGTAATTTGCTTGGAAGAAGGATTGATTTTGAATTTTGCTTAGAAATGGATTAATGTTTTTAACCTTTACTTGTGTCATTTCCATGGTGGTTTTCACTTTCGGGAAACTCAGACATGTTTATGAAGATCATACCTATTAAAATCTTGATTTGGTAGCTCAAATTCCTGTAAAAATTCCATAACATTAGATTTTTGCAATGTTCATCGATTTGAATGACTCAAACTTCTTATTTGTAAAAATTTTCCTTATGATTATTATGCACGATAGTTGATATGCTTGTTCTTACTTATGGATTTGATTTAAAGAATGCATGGTTGCATCTATAGTGTGGGGTATTGTGCTTCGATTGTTTTTTGCATGATTGATATCTATCTTTGCAAACCTCCTGCGATGTACCAACGCAAGGCTTGAAGAATGGAGTTGGGGCTTCTTCATTCTTGATTTCTCCTTTGAGAGATGAGACAAGTCCTCCAAGAATCTCAACAACACTTCCACTTAAACTTCCTATACACCCTTCCTTCACCAAGCTCTCCTTAGTTGTTGCTCGCCCAAAGAAACAATGCATTTACACAAAGGAAGAGGTCGAGGAGATGCATGCCTTGATTCGGGCCTAATTGTACATATTTTATCCCCATTTTCCTTAGGCGTTTGTGGCAATTGTGCTCCTAAAAGGGTGGTTTTACGCGAGGTTTCTTGTGTTTTAACTTGTTTCAGGATTTAACAGGTGAAACCAGCCCCCGGAGTCGAAAGTTGGACGAAAAGGAGCGAAAACCGTGAGAAGAGGTGAAAACCGGCAATTCACGGTTTCTCATGGATGTTCACGGTCTTCTAAAATCTTAAGTTACTGACACGAAGTGAGTTCACGGTCACTAAGACCGTGAACTTGAACTGTTGCCCATGAACCCGTGCAAGCGAAGCGGTGCGTTTCGACGCCAACCTTGAGTTCACAAACGCGTTCAAGAGTTCACGGCCGTAAACTGAGCCCGATCCCTGAATAAGAAGAGAGCTGAAAGGAAGAGAGAAGGGAGAGCCCAAGAGTGAGAAAGTGCCTTCTTCAGATTTTAGAGATAGAAAGAACGAACCAAGGAAGGAAGAAGGCTAGGCTTTGCTTGTGCTAGACTTGGTGTTGTTTTCCAATTGTGTGTAGGAGGTGCATGACCCGGAGTATCCGGCACCTTTGCTACCCCGTGACGAGGACATAAACCAAACTCTCCGAATCCTAGCACGGAGAGGGAGCTAGCGGAGGCAAGGATAAGAAGTGAAGAAAAGGGACAACAATTTGGTCCCGGTGTTAGTGGAGTTTAAGTTTAAGAAGTGGAAGGTGAACCCGACATTGGAGTAGAAATGGCGGAGAACCAAAGAGAAGCGGGAGCCGTCCAAGCTCGTAATCTAAACGATGCGGCGGCGGAAGAGGAAGCCCCAAGGACAATGAGATACTATATGGCCCCACGACCGGCGAACATTCAATCGCCAATCTTACACCCTCCCGTGGCGGCCAACAATATCGAGATCAAGCCGGCTCTAGTGACTATGATACAGAACAATGCTTTGTTCCATGGTCTTCCGAGCGAGTCACCAAGAGAGCATGTGCAGAGATTCCTGGAGCTCGCGGGGAGCTTGAAAATCAATGGCATGCCGGATGAAGCTTTGCAACTGAGGCTTTTCCCCTATTCACTTGCGGGGAAAGCAATCCGGTGGCTAAACAACCACCCGCCTCGTTCAATCACCTCATGGGACAATCTTCTCTACAAATTCATCACCTACTACTGCCCACCTTCGAAGACGGCCAAGTGGAGAAAGATTATCACCCATTTCGAGGAAGAAGAAGACGAGACCTTGAGGGATGCTTGGGAGAGATACTCCGATTATTTTCTTCAATGCCCTCACCATGGGTTCGAAGAACAGTTTCGGATTGAAACTTTCTATGGTGGTCTAATCCAAGAAGACAAGATTCTCATTGACTCACTGTGTCAGTGGAAATTGATGAATATGAATCCACCCCAAGTGACCGAGCTACTTGAAGAAATGGCACTCAAGGGATACAATTGGGGATTGACGAGAAGCGGGAAGAGAAGCAATGATAGGGGAGTGAGAAGCATGGGAGAGAGCGCTCCACTTGAGGCGAAGTTGGACAAGTCGATAGAGGTAATTCTTGAAGATAAAAAGCAAGGAAAGAGGTCGATGATGTCTTATGATTGGTGTTCGAGCACTAACCATGAGATTGCGGAGGGCCAAGCAATGAAGGAGGCAACCACTCCGGAGGAGCAAGTCAATTTCGTGGTAAATGCTAGGGCCAATAACCTGTATAACAATACTTATAATCCCGGATGGAGGAACCACTCCAATTTTTCTTGGTCATCACCGACTAATCCGAGACCCCTGGGTTTTCAAGGTCCTACGGGCAATTATCAACCTCGTCCAACCTTCATCCAACAAAGGCCTCAAGTCCAAAGCTGGAACTTCCAACAACCATATCTCGCACAAGGTGGTCAAGGGTTTCAACAACAACAACAACAACCCGACAAGCTATCCAAGCTTGAGGACCTAGTGAACACCTTTGTGAGCACGAGTGCTCAAAAGTTCGAGAAGATTGAGCAATTCATGGGTGTGGCGACTACCAAATTTACCTCGGTTGAGGCAGAACTCTGAAGCCATCAAGTGAGCCTCCAAAGCATGGAAGTGCAAATCGGCAATCTTTCCGGGATCCTCACCGAGAGACCGAAGGGAGCTATACCATCCCAAAACGTGGTGAACCCCAAGGATCATGCTGGGGTGAATGCAATTCAAGTGGGAAGTGGAAAGGTGACTCCGAGCGTCGCCACTAAAGAGGCAGCTGGGAAGTGATTGAGAAGGAAGGTTCCTGTTACACAGAGAGGCAGCTGGGAAAACGAAGGGTTGAGCACCAATCAGAAATGACAAAAGTGAAATCGAAAAAGGAGATAAGGATGAGTGATGACAGATCACTCTAGACTCCTTCCTTTCACTTAAAACTATGGGCCCGACTTATCCTAAGCCCACAATAAGAGAAAGAGGAAACCCAACCAGTTGAAACAATTTACTGGCCTGGAAAGCTAAAGCCACTGCTTTAGAGTCTGTAACCTGTCTTCTTCGATGAGATGAAGAAGGTTCAGAAACAGGGGAAGATTTCCAGAACAGAGCACGCGACAAGGAACAACAAAGAGAAGAAGCAGAAAGTGCACAAGAGATTTTTAACGAGGTTCCCAAACTACTAGTCACTCCTCGTCCTAGACTCAGTACACACTGAGATCTAGGAGACTCCTTTTTTTATTTAATTTTTCCTATCAAGCAAGAAATTGAAGAATGCAGACTCGAAACATTACAAGAAAGAGATCAAACTCTAAACTGACTAATAACCCGGATCCCAGTTCCAGACCCGTTACACTGTTAATCAAACATATCCTCTTCCTCTGTTCTGATTAAGCCTCTTTGTAAACAGCCCTTTACCACTTTCACAAAGATGACGCGAGGTCTTCTTGCTTGGAGAAATATATAGGCTTGCTCAGGCCATCCTACCGTTGCTTCATTCTACCGTTGCAATTTGAATGGTTGCCACAGGAGGAAAGCCGCAACTCTAGTCTGTTAAATCCCTTTGATTGATGAGCTCCCTCTAATGTGCAATGAGAGTTTCCATATTTCAACAATCTCCCCCTGAAACCGAAATTGCAGATTGCCGAAAGTGCCTGCAGCAACAAACACATTTCTATGCCAAACAGAAAGCAATCACTCAAAGCAACACACAAAACTGTGAATCCAAGACAAGTAATCAACCAAAATAAAACCGAGGATTCAAAGTATCAACAGGACCACAGCCTGGTCAAGCAAACCAATCCGACAGAGAAGCAAGAAAAACTGAAAACAATAAGACAAGAAACCAGCAAGCAGCAAAGCAGGCTCCCCCTAAACACCAGAAACAAAGCAAGCAGCAAAGCGAGCTCCCCCTGAGAGTCAGACTCCTTCATTGTCAGATCCTGAGCCATAAAGATCCTGAAGAGCTGCTGCGAAAGGTTCCAATCCCACAGAAGAACTATCATCCGAGTCATCCGAATCACCATCTGAATCCGAGTCATCACTACTGATAATGTGAACAGCAGGCACACCATTCTCCCCCTCAACTGCAATTTGCATAATGTCCATGACATCTGACACGCCAAAACACAACACCAAACTGCAACCAAGTATAATCGCAGTCCGGGAATGCAGTAAAGTGGCAAGTTCTATTACCAACCCGTGGTCTAGATATACTTCTTACTCCGTGATTCTCTATTATCTAGCCAACTAAGTTAAGTGATTGTTGTTTAAAGCAAAAGCAGAAAGAAAGCAGGAATTGGTACGGTTTTCTCAAGCAAAGAAGAGTCACTCGGGAATGAGTCCCCCTAGCTCCTTAGTTAGGTCTCAATTGTAATTACCCTGGGTTGATTTACTGTTGATTAGACTGCGGAAGATCCGACAGTAGCTTGGAATCTCTTAAACTGACCAAGCCCTCTCAGTCTAACTACCCGGTAGACGACTAGTCTTCACCGGGATAGAAAGCTGAAGCAATAAGCACAAAACTCCACTACTGGAATTGGATTCCAGTACAAAGCAGTAAATTGGCTAACTCTCGTATAGCCAATCTCCTACTACCGAATGATGAGGCTCTAACAACCTAATCAGATTCTATCTTTCTCAGGTTGCAGCAGAAATCAGGAAAAGCTGATCAGACTTCAATTGACTCAATAAACATGCATCATTCGATTAAAACCAAACAGTATAATCATCCCAAGTCATTAAAATCAAATCCCTAACACATGGAACTAGGGTTCTTCATACCCATGTGAGAGAAGGGTTCTACTCCATAGAGACAGAGGGGAAAACAGAATACAAAGCAGTCATACTCATAACAATGGGCAGAATCTGCTCTGGGATGATGATTTCCACTCCTATGACGATCTCCAAGCTCGATTTGATGAAACCCAGCTCCAAGATAGCTTCTAGAATGTGTTCTTCGTACTTTCTCTCTCTAGGGATCTGTTTTTGCTCTCAAAATCCGATCCTCTCACTTGCAGCCCGAAATGGGGTAAAAACCAGAAATTCCCGACTCACACGGGCAGGCCACACGGCCGTGTGGCATACCCAGTTGCCCGTGTGAGGTCAAAATGCCGCGTTCCGAGTAATTGGGTTTCAGGCCTTCCCACACGGCCAGGGGCACACGGCCGTGTAGCTCACCCAGCCTGGCCGTGTGAAGCCTCACAGAATTCCACACGGCCAAATTGAAACTTCACACGGCCGTGTGGATTTTACTTGTGCCCGTGTGAAGGCTCGCACAATCCCACACGGCCTCCTTGGTCGCTTGCACGGCCGTGTGAGTTGTGAGTGTGCCCGTGTGGCTTCCTTTGTGACTTGCCTCGTCCCCGATCTTCGTCCAATCGACCCCGAACTCGCTCCTAAACCTTCATTCACTTGCTAGGACCTGAAATATCACAAACAAACACAACCTAGCGTGAAATTGGCCTAAAACACGAGAATCAACACCTCAAACGGCTCCAGAACAGGGGTAAAAACATGTGCAATTAACGGCTTGTCAACATCATCACCCGAGAAGAACACAGAAGGGGTGGTGGTGCGAAAGAGGTTGAGGTTGATATCAAGACGGAGCAACAGCTGAGTGATCATAGAGCCAAAGGGCAGAGAGGTCTCGAGAGATATATTGGCAATAGGAAGAATCGCCCCAAAGAATAGAGGAGAATAATCTAGAGCAGTACCGTGCACAGCATGAGCAATGACCCAGACATCAAGAGGGGACAACAGATGAAGGTTTCCTGTCCTAGGAAGGAAGACTCGAGTGAGGAAAAATGAAAGACCTGAAGGACAGGAAGCAGAGTGTGAACAGGCATGAGCTGATCAGGGCCAGGGTGTTGACCGGTGATATTATGAAAATCCTCCACCACATCAAAGCCAAAGAGGCCAAGCTCCGATTCATCAGCAAGATTTTCACCAACCTGAGGAATGTCCAAAAGTAAACCAACCTGATGAACAGGAATGGTGAACAGATGGCCAAAGACCAGAGAGGTAAAAACTCGAGATGATACTTCAGAATAGCGCAGGTTCGAAAAGAAGAACCGGAGAGCCTCAGGACAAACAATCGGAGAGAAGGGACGATCTAGAAGAAAACCCCATCCCAGATTGTGAAAAAAAGGTCTAATATCAAGACCCACTTCAGCCAACTCGTCCAGAGAGATATGGTAAGAGGGTAGGACTTGACGAGAGGCAAAAAAGAGAGAGTGGCGGTGGGAGTTGGCAGCAATGGGCTCAAGGAACAGAGTTCCAGTGAACGTATTTATGAAGGGAAAAGCCATTGCTAAACAAGGAGGGATCAATGGGATAACAAAGACGGCAAGGAGAGGCAGGTTAAATAGGCAGGACACGAGCAATCCTAAGAGCAGAATGGGACACTAGACACACGAATCAAAGGAAAGAAAACTCAAACAAGGAAAAGCAATCAAACAGCAAAAATAAGCAAGGAAAGAAAAGACACGCACAATAACAGTAATAAGAAAAGGAAACAGAAAAAGAAAAAGAAGGAAGGCTAAAACTTACTGATCAGAGATCCCTAGAATCTCTGAGAGAGATGCCAAGGATCGAAGACCGATTTCATAGCAAAGGTAAGTAAATCGGTCTGCAGACAAAGCTTTGGTAAATAAATCTGCTAATTGAAATTCAGTAGGAATGTGATGCAAATGAATAGTGCCAGCTTGAACTAATTCACGAATGAAATGGTATTTAATGTCAATATGCTTGGTACGAGAATGCTGAACAGGGTTCTTGGTCATGCATATGGCACTCATATTATCACAAAAAAGAGGAATAGTAGAGCATTAAGCCCATAATCACATAACTGACTTTTCAACCAAAGGAGCCGGGTACAAGAACTGCCAGCAGCAATGTATTCTGCCTCTGCAGTAGACAGAGCTACAGCTCCTTGCTTTTTGCAAAACCAAGAAACTAACGAAGTACCAGTGAACTGACAATGACCTGTTGTGCTTTTTCTGTCAGTTAGACTGCCAGCAAAGTCAGAATAAGTATAGCCAAGAAGATTAAATTGATCTTGTTTAGCATACCAGAGACCAACATCAATAGTTCCCTTTAAATATCGAAAAATGTGCTTAACAGCGGTTAGATGACTTTGCTTAGGTTGGGATTGAAACCGAGCACAAAGGCAAACAACATATTGAATATCAAGCCTGCTGGCTATGAGATATAACAGCGATCCAATCATGCCACGATATTTAGATTCATCAACTGGAATGCCAGTCTCATCTCTATCGAGTTTTACGTTAGTTGCCATAGGTGTAGGACAAACATTCAGGGCAGTCATATCAAATTTCTGCAGCATACTGGACACATACTTAGACTGGTTGATGAAGGTTCCATGGGGAGTTTGTTTAATTTGTAAACCGAGAAAATACTTTAACTCCCCCATTAGACTCATTTCAAACACAGATTTCATAGAATCACAAAAGGAAGCACATAGAGCAGTATTCGTGGAACCGAAAACAATGTCGTCAACATATATTTGAACGATAAGAAAATCAGTTGAAGAGTGTTTAATGAAAAGCGTTTTATCCACTGATCCTTGAGAGAAGCCTTGATCATGAAGAAATGATGTTAAACGATCATACCAAGCTCTAGGAGCTTGTTTAAGCCCATAGAGAGCTTTATTGAGTTTAAACACATGATCAGGATACCTATGATCGAAAAAACTAGGAGGCTGTTCGACATAGAAATCTTCCTCAATGACACCGTTTAAAAACGCACTCTTGACATCCATTTGAAATAAAGGGAAACCTATGTAAGAGGCAAAAGCACACAAGAGGCGGATTGACTCGATACGTGCAACAGGTCCAAACGTTTCGTCATAGTCAATCCCTTCCTCTTGAGAGTAGCCTTGAGCAACCAAACGAGCTTTGTTTCTAATGATAATGCCTAATTCGTCCGACTTATTTCGAAACACCCACTTAGTTCCAATGATGCTAACGTTCAAGGGATGAGGGACTAAATCCCAAACATGCAAATAGGCAAACTGAGTAAGTTCTTCAATCATAGCAAGACACCATTCTTCACAAGTCAGAGCTTCTTTGTAGTTCTTAGGTTCTACTTGCGAAACATAGCATACTGACCTGGAATATATTTACCTCTTGTGCGCAGGCCATCACTCAGATTACCAATGACAAGATCAGCTGGATGTCTCTTTTGTATGTGAGGAGGAGATTTATTTTCAGCTCTTGGTGGCTCGGGTGAAATATCTTTTGCATTATTGGTACTAGGTAGAGTTGAGGTAGATGCTTCAGTGATGTTAGTCGAGGCCTCCTGCACCGGAGTTGAATCTGCTTCCTCAAACTCCTCCTGTCTTCCAAGTAATTCAGATAAGTCAAATAGCATAGCTGAAGAACCAGAATCTGGAGAGGAAACTGTGTCATTAAAGATGACATGCACAGACTCCTCTACTTTCTGAGTTCTCTTATTATAAACCCGAAAAGCTTGTCCTTTAACAGAGTATCCCAAGAAGATGGCTAAATCAGATTTAGCATCAAACTTCCCTAGGTTATCACGAGTGTTTAACACATAGCAATGACATCCAAACGGATGAAAATAGGAAATATTGGGAGCCTTGTTTTTAAAAATCTCATAAGGAGTTTTATTTAGGGATTTATGAACAAGAACACGATTAATCACATGGCACGCTGTGCTGACAGCCTCAGCTTAGAAATATTTTGGTAAATTGTACTCAAGGAGTAACGTTCGAGCACACTCAATAAGAGTACGATTCTTTCGCTCAACAACTCCGTTTTGCTGAGGAGTACGAGGAGCTGAAAAAATGTGAGAGATCCCAGTATTACTGCAGAAGGTTTGAAAATCTTCCACAATAAACTCACCCCAATTGTCACTCTTAACAATTTTAATTTGACCAGTAAATAAAGCACAAAAGGTCTTGAATTTAGCTAAGGTTTCATCCTTGTGAGCTAAAAAGTACACCCAGGTATATCTGGAGTAGTCATCGACCAGAACAAACACATAATTCTTACCTCCTAGGCTGGTAACAGTACAAGGGCCAAAAAGGTGCATGTGAACTAATTCAATCATGGCCTTTGTCGAGACATCAGTCTTGGGTTTAAAAGATTTCTTTCAATGCTTACGAGAGACACAAGTTTCACAGAAAAAGTTTGATTTATCTTTTATAACAGGAATTCCTCGCACAATGTTCAATCTCGACAGAATGGCCAGTTTTGGTAAACTGACATGTCCGAGTTTCCTGTGCCAAAGGAGCTCCTGTTGAAAAGACACTACAAAGCAGTATTCATTAAATGCATCCAGGTTTTGCATATCTATGATATACATGTTATTTTGTCGAGTACCCACGAAAATAACCTGACTATCTGAAGTACGTTCAACAAGGCAGCGAGATGATTCAAAAACAACCCTATGCCCATTTCCACACAATTGACTGATAGAGAGCAAATTGTGCTTAAGTCCTTCTACAAGAAGGACATTATGAATCACAGGTAAGGGCTGTTGACCAATGGTTCCAGTTCCAACAATAGTTCCGGAACTATCATCACCGAAAATTACCTTACCTCCACGTTTCCAAGACAGAGAAGAGAAAAGATCACTTACCAGACATATGATGGGAACATCCACTGTCTAAGTACCACATAGAGTCTCTGTTAGCACTAATGGCTACAGAGGAACCTTCAACTGATAGCTTTGACTCAGTTGTGCTTTATTCAGTTGCCATCAGTGCCATTTCTTCATCTTGATCGTCGTCTGCATCTGACTCGTAGTCACTCCAGGATGCTTTCATGGCTCGCTCTTTTGCTTTGAGAGTCTGTGGACAGTTGGCACAAATGTGACCAGGCTTTCCACACTTATAGCAAGCCTGCCCCTCGCGTTCTGAATGCCCTGTTTCCAAAATTCTGGTCTACTGGTAAGGCAGCCTTTCTTGTGAAACATTCTTAAAACGATCATTAGTCATAAATCTGGACTCATCAGACCTGCGTTTCAGATCATTCTTATATCGTAACATACGATGAAACTTTTTACTAAGGAGGGCAAATTCTTTGTCAAAATCACCAAAATGATCATCATTAGAATCATACTCAACTTTAGATTTGAAAGCTATACTCTTTTTACGTTTTTCATCATCCTGAGACACTTGCCTAATCACATGCTCATGACTTAATAGTGACCCGATTAACTCATCAATAGGTAAACGATTTAAGTCTTTCGCCTCTTCTATAGCAGTGCGCTTAGGAAGCCACTCTTTGGGAAGGGATCGAAGAATCTTTCTGTTTAGATCCTTCGATTGAAAGTCTCGACCTAAGCCTTTAAGCTTATTAATGAGAACTGTAAACCTAGAATACATATCCTGAATACTTTCACCAGCAGCCATATTAAAAGCTTCATAATCATGTAGAAGAAGATCTATACGAGTTTCTTTAATGTTTGAAGTACCTTCATAAGTTCTTTGTAGGGCACTCCAGATTTCTTTAGCTGAATCGCAATTTTCCACTTTGTCGGCCTCTTCTGGTAGCATCGCCGATTGGAGAACATGCATCGCGCGCTGGTTCAATTGGACACTCTTCTTTTGAGCTGCACTCCACTCGAATTGATTTTCGACATCCATTTCGAGAGGGCCGTTTTGCACCACTAGCCACAGCTCATCGTCTATCCCCCATAGGAAAGTCTTCATTCGCTTTTTCCAAGCAGTGTAGTTTCCTCCAGTGAAGATGGGAGGCGAATTCAGTGCTCCATGTCCGAAATTTGATGACGTCATGGATCTTTGACTTGGCAGCAACTAGCTTCTATCAAGCAGCAGCTCTGATACCACTGTTACACAGAGAGGCAGCTGGGAAAACGAAGGGTTGAGCACCGATCAGAAATGACAAAAGTGAAATCGAAAAAGGAGATAAGGATGAGTGATGACAGATCACTCTAGACTCCTTCCTTTCTCTTAAAACTATGGGCCCGACTTATCCTAAGCCAACAATAAGAGAAAGAGGAAACCCAACCAGTTGAAACAATTTATTGGCCCGGAAAGCTAAAGCCCACTGCTTTAGAGTCTGTAACCTGTCTTCTTCGATGAGATGAAGAAGGTTCAGAAACAGGGGAAGATTTCCAGAACAGAGCACGCGACAAGGAACAACAAAGAGAAAAAGCAGAAAGTGCACAAGAGATTTTTAACGAGGTTCCCAAACTACTAGTCACTCCTCGTCCTAGACTCAGTACACACTAAGATCTAGGAGACTCCTTTTTTTATTTAATTTTATCAAGCAAGAAATTGAAGAAGCAGACTCGAAACATTACAAGAAAGAGATCAAAATCTAAACAGACTAATAACCCGGATCCCAGTTCCAGACCCGTTACACTGTTAATCAAACAGATCCTCTTCCTCTGTTCTAATTAACCCTCTTTATAAACAGCCCTTTACCATTTTCACAAAGATGACGCGAGGTCTTCTTGCTTGGAGAAATATATAGGCTTGCTCAGGCCATCCTGCCGTTGCTTCATTCTACCGTTGCAATTTGAATTGTTGCCACAGGAGGAAAGCCGCAACTCTAGTATGTTAAATCCCTTTGATTGCTGAGCTCCCTCTAATGTGCAATGAGAGTTTCCATATTTCAACAGTTCCAACCCGAAGGATAAAGAGAAAGGGCCCTCAAGGAGAGAGAGGAAAGCGGCAAGGAAGGCAACGCCGACACCACCTCCGGTGGTTGAGTACAATCCACCTCTTCCTTTCCCCACGAGGATGTACAAGGAGAGGTTGGATGCTCCGCACCCTCCACCTCAATATCCCTTTCCTTGAAGGCATGGCTCAAATGCCAAGATATGCTATGTACCTCAAAGGATTCTTCACCAAGAAGCCAAAGCTTGAAGGCCTCACAAACGTGACTCTTGGCGAGGAGTGTTCGGCTTTCCTCCTCTACCGCTTGCCCAAAGAGCTTTACTACCCCTCTTTGTATTGGTAACCATCATATAGACAATGCCTTGGCGGACCTAGGAGCTAGTGTTAATGTGATGCCCTACAAGATTTTCAAAAAGTTAGAAGTAGGTGAACTTAAGACCACTAAGTTTAGCATCACTTTAGCTAACCGATCGGTCATTAGCACGAGAGGCATTGTGGAGGACATGTTGGTGCGAGTAGGCAAGTTTTGCTATCCGACTGATTTCGTGATTCTCGATATAAGCGAGGACTATGATATGCCGCTCATACTCGGTCGTCAATTCCTCGCAACCGCCAAGGCATTGATAGACGTTAATGAGGGGACCTTAATTCTTAGGGATGGTGTGGAGAGAATCAATCTTGAAATTGATCCTAGGGCTATAAGTGAGGAAGTGAAGGAGTTGGTTTCGAAGGATGTGAATGTGAGTGGAGGAGAGCCTCTCAAGGCAAACCCCACTATTACTTGTGTTGCTTATGGTAATGTCGAGCAGGAAGTCAAGGAGGGTACTATGCCCAAGGAAAAGAGGAAGAACGCTTCAAGACAAAAGATGAAGGAAGCCTTGGCCTAAAGGAAGGAGAAGGCCAAAGCTAAGTTGGTCAACCAAGAGGGCCAACTCATGGAGTTTAAGATGGGAGGCTACAAGCCTCGCCCCGAGAGTGTGGTGGATCCACTCCTGGTGGCATCACGTTCCAAGACATGATTGATACCCAACCGTCAAGCTAATGAGGATAACTTAGCGCTTGTTGGGAGGCAACCCAACAGAGGTTTGTTTTCTTTTCCTTATTTTTGTTTTTGTGTCAAGTGAAGAGTTCAAGTGGTCAAGTGGTTTCCCCGTGCCAAATGTTGTGGTTTTGCATTTTAAGGTTGTATTGTGATCGATTAGGAGGCACGGTGGAATAGGTTGAGTCAATTTTTTCTCAGAAGTGCCCTATTTCCACTGAATTTCACGGACGGAGTGCTGAGTTCACGGTCTTACAAGACCGTGAACAGGAAAACGCGTCCGTGAACTGGGCGCTTTTGCTTGTTCACCACCGGTCGACCAACCCCAGTTCACAGACGGATTTGAGAGTTCACGGTCTCTAAGACCGTGAACAAAGCAACGCGTCGGTGAACTCCGTGCTTTGCCTATAAAAGGGGCATTAACGGTGACTCTTCACTTCACGACCCAAAACTCGCCGAAAAATTTGAATTCTCGCTTGAAAACCATGAAATTCCGATGGTTTTTCAAATTTTCACCCATTTTCGGCGAGCAAAACCCAAAACCAACTTCATACCCATTCTCCCCTCGGCAAAACCGGCCTGTGCTGCGATTTTGGAGAGATTTTGGGCAAGTTTTTTCTGGTCAAGTCGTCGGCGGCTTGTCTTCGACGAGCTTCCGACGAAGCTCTGACGACCCCTCTCCGGCCTGTTTGTGGCCATTTTTCACCTTCTTCGCCCCAACCTCACTTCCTCCTATGTCCAACTTGCGTCTCCAGGTTGTTTTTTCAGCTACACCTTGTTAATTTTGGGAGAATCGGATTAGGTAGTGAAGTGAGGGTGATTTTCATGCTTTGAATGTTGAACCTAGAATTAGGGCAAGGAATTAGGTCGATTGGTTGGTGGAATGTTAATGCATGAGCCTAGTTGAGCCTTGGTGTGTGTGTTTGAACCGAATTGTCTATTTTTTTTAGAATTTGCCCACCAAGTGCTATTTAGTGAATGCATGTGGAACTTTATGCTTGTTGGTGGATGGTAGCCACCGTGGTTTGGGGCTCTGGTTCGGATTTTTGTATGAGTGAACCGTGAAATAACCACAACCATGCCACGGTGTGCTTAAGCTTCAATGTTTGATATCCATGGTGGATATATAAGTGTGGGGGAAATCTCTTTTCCTCCCAATGAGCAATATTTGATGATTGTTTCCACGTATGGTGCTTGTTTGCTGATTCGTGCAGGATGGTTAACATAGACTACCCATACCTTGTGACGCTAAGGGGCCACCCTGAAATGGAGGAAGAGATGTGCTTTTGGGCATCTTCGAACTTCGGTAACCATTGGAAACTCGACTTCGCATAGTTCGACATGCTTCATTGCGGTGATGTTATGAGGGAGACAGTGGTGCAACCTCAATGGCGCCAACTCCTTGATATTGAAGATGACATCTATGGGGAACTATACGTCGAGTTTTTCAGCACCTTCACCATCCATAAGACCCAATGCCTACTCGGCCATCCAATATGCCGGGTCAAGTTTCAGTTGGGAAGGGAAGGTCGCACTTTGAGCTACGACGAGTTAGCTGAGGCCCTTGGAGTGCAAGCCAAACATGAGGACGATTGGGAGGAAGACGCCATCCGAAGTTTCGACGTGAATGCCGCATTTATGAAGTTTTGCCTTCCACAGTACCGAAGGAAAAAGTTTAGATTGACCCTCAAATTGGAATCTACACTCTAACCCTAGTGGCGTATCATCGTTGCACTCCTGACTCGTTCCCCCTACCCGGCATACCACAACCCGAACAAGATAATCGAGAGAATCTTATTGGCTTGTTCTTGCATGGTGCACCTATCTAACACTCTGCACCTGGGTTCAGTCATTGCCACTTCTTTTGCAAGGGCCAAGGGAGGAAACCATCGTTATGTCATATCAATGGGTCCCTACATCACCCACCTTGCTCGATAATTCAATGTCAGCCTTGCAGGGTGCTCGAGAGAAGGGCGCACCCAAGGTTTGACGAGGGCACCTTGCACTCCATGCGCTTATTGCGCACCTTTGGACTAATTCGGTACATTGAGGGAGTGATTAATGATCTAGAGGGCCCACCAGCAGAGCAGCCACCAGTGTCCAGCCCAGCCACCACCTGCAGCAGCAGAAGGTGATCCCCTCGTTTAGAGGGTGGATCGCCCAGAGACGAGCTTCGTGGGAGTGACTTCCCTCCTAGACTGGCAGACAAACCTCCTCGAGTTGATGGCTCAACGCCAGGGCCTCCTTCCAGATGAGAAGGAGGGTCCATCCACCTGCGAGAGGTAGCCGACGAGTGAGACATGTGCCAGAGCCAATTTCTTTCGCCCCACTTCTCCACTTGTAACTCTGAACTTGTTTTAGTTATTTTTCTTTCTTTTATGTGTGTGTGACCATAAAGTACTACTACTATCATATTTTTTGTGTAATAACCTCGCCCCGAGCGAGTCGTATTGTGTTTGTGTGTGTGTTTTTGTCTCTCCATGAAGCTCCAAATATCCTACACCGGAATCGATTCCAACTTTCACTCACCAAGCCCAAGCGGTAACATCATTCTACCCCTATCTTACACCATTGAGGGCAATGTCGAGCATAAGTGTGTGTGTGTGGGGGGGGGGGGGGGTAGTTTACTATTATGCTTGTGTGAGTGTGATTCATGCTTGGCGCCTTGTTGTATGCCCGAATTTGAAAATTTTGAGGGCTCCAAGCAATTTTTGCATAATCAAAGTAGCCGGTTTGTGGGGAAATCTCGTGTTTATTGGCATTGATCTTGATTTGTTGCATGTGATCGAGTATATCCTATGATGACGACTGAGAGGTCCATTAGGATAGTGCAAAGCAAGAAAACGAAAGCGAGAATCGAAAACACGACACACGGTTTACGTAGTTCACTAACACGGTGTGTGTTATCTACGTCCACGGGCGAGAGAGAGCCAGTTTCACTATATAGAGGAGATTACAGATTACAGAGGAGTATGAGAAGTATTTATAATACTTCTCCATGTGGGTCTAAACCTAATCCAATCTGGCAAAGGAAACGGTTACAGACCAGGCCCAAAACCCGAACCCAAATAACATTGAGCCCATACACCGTGGGCCGTTGCCCCCGCACTCCCACCGGGGCGTAGCGGTTGATAGTCCGATCATGATGTAGACCCAGATCACAATACACCACTGCCTGATCATGATGTAGACCAGATCACCAACCATTCCCTTCAACCATATTCCCTCTTTAGCAGCTTATGTCAACACCATATACTCTGCCTCAGTAGTAGACAATGTCACCGCCGACTTCAAAGTTGCCTTCCAGCTCACTACAGAACTCCCAAGAGTGAATACATAACCGGTCATCGATCTCCTCGTGTCAACATCTCCAGCATAGTCCGAGTCAGAATACCCAGACACCAAGCACTCTGTATCACTTCCGAAGCTAATCCCCACATCAGGTGTACCCTTAAGGTACCGGAAGATCCTCTTCACAGCCTGCCAATGCTCCTTCCCAGGTTGTATCATAAACCTGCTGACAACACTAACAACATGTGCAAGATCAGGTCTAGTGCATACCATAGCGTACATCAAGCTACCTACTGCACTAGCATATGGGACTCTCGACATGTACTCCTTCTCAGCCTCTGACTGCGGTGCATAACCTGAGGATAGATGAACATTTGAAGCACTAGGAGTATTTAAGGGCTTTGCTGAAGACATGCCAAACCTCGACAGTATCTTTTGGATGTAGCTCTTCTGTGACAAGAAAAGCTTCTTCTTCGACCTGTCCCTGTAAATCTCCATACCCAAGATCTTTTGAGAAGCTCCCAAATCCTTCATCTCAAACTCAGCACTGAGAAGCCCCTTTAACTTCTGGATATCAGACTTCGACCTCGCAGCTATGAGCATATCATCCACATACAGAACAAGATAGATCATCGAACCATCCTCCACCTTGTTGTGATACACACAACAATCATATGGACTTCTGCTGTAGCCCAGCTCAAGCATGTAACTGTCAAATCTCTTGTACCACTGCCTCGGAGATTGCTTAAGTCCATACAAGGACTTCTTCAGCTTACAAACATAGTCTTCTTTTCCCGGAACCTCGAATCCTTCTGGCTGAGTCATGTAAATTTCTTCCTCCAACTCTCCATGTAGGAAAGCTGTCTTCACGTCTAGCTGCTCGAGCTCCAAGTCATAATGTGTCACTATTGCTAGTAGCACTCTAATCGAAGTATGTCTGACCACTGGTGAGAAAATATCATTGTAGTCAACTCCTTCCCTCTGCGAGAAGCCTCGTGCAACCACCCGAGCTTTAAATTTCATGCCCTCTTTAGAAGTGATTCCTTCCTTCTTCTTGTAGATCCACTTGTTTGTAACAATCTTCTTTCCCTGTGGTCGTTTGACTAGCTCCCAAGTCTGATTCCTGTCATGGGATTCCATCTCATCTCCCATTGCGGCAAGCCACTGATCAGCTTCACCACCCGAAACTGCTTCTCTATAGGAATGTGGCTCTCCTGCATCCACTTCTTCAGCAACCTGAAATGAATACGCCACCATGTCCTCGAAGCCGTACCTCTGTGGAGGTACTCCCGCAGTCGCTCTCTTCGGTCTACCGGAAGCTATAGACTGTTGAGCTCCTGCACTGGACTTTGAAGTTTCTGGCTCTGTGGAAACATCATCATGTTGATCTTCTCCACCTTGGTGCTCAAACTCACTCTCATTGAGAGTTAGCAGCTCCACCTGCTTATCAACATTCCTGCTACCTTCAACAATAGTAACCTTCAACATGGGGTTAAACATAGACTTCTCATCAAATATCACATTTCTACTGAGTATAACTCGATGCTCAGAAGGTGACCAGACTCGAAATCCCTTAACTCCATCTCCGTAACCCACAAGTACACCCTTCTTTGCCCTTGGGTTCAGTTTACCCTCATCCACATGATAATAAACAGGACACCCAAAAACTTTCAGTGAAGAGTAATCAGCAAGCTTGCCATACCACACCTCATAAGGAGTCTTCAACTCGATACCTGTGTGAGGTCCACGGTTGATCAGGAAGCACGCCATGTTCACTGCTTCTGCCCAGAATCTTCTCTCTAGTCCAGCATTAGAGAGCATGCACCGTGCCCTCTCCAACAACGTCTGGTTCATTCTTTCTGCAACGCCATTCTGCTGGGGTGTATCTCTCACAGTCCGATGACGGGCAATCCCTTCATCCTTGCAGAATTCGTTGAACTCAGAATTACAGAACTCCAGACCATTGTCCGTTTGCAGCTTCTTGATCTTCTTCCCGGTCTGATTCTCCACCAATGTCTTCCACTACTTGAACTTCGTGAAAGCCTCACTTTTCTGCTTCATCATGAAAATCCAAGTAAATCTCGAATAATCATCAATAAAAGACAGAAAATACTTGCTGCCTCCAATGGATTCAACTCGTGAAGGACCCCAACAGTCGGAATGGAGGTAATCTAGTATCCCCTTTGTCCGGTGGATACCCTTCTTGGGAAACTTGCTGCGATGTAGCTTCCCAAACACACAGTGCTCGCAGAATTCCAAATTTTGCATCTTGTGCCCGCAAAGAAGATCCCTCTTCGACAGAACTTGCATCCCCCGTTCACTCATATGCCCCAGTCTCATGGGCCAGAGAGTGGTCATATCTTCCTGATGAACCTGAGACGATGCAATTGCAGCAGAACCAGACAACACAGACCCTTGCAATGCATACAAGGTCCCACGCTTCATGCCCTTCAGCACCTTACTTGAACCTTTGCAGACATACACAACTCCACCTTTTCCTTTGAAACTGAAACCCTTGCTGTCGAGTAGACTCAAGGAGATCAGGTTCTTTGTCATTCGTGGAACATGCCTGACATCATTCACGGTACAGAATGAACCATCATGTGTTCGAACCTTTATGGACCCGATTCGAACAACCTTGCAGACAGCTCCATTTGCCATGACCACGTTACCACCATCTATCTGCTCGTAGGTTGTGAAGCAATCCCTGTTCGGAGACATATGGTATGAGGCTGCAGTATCCAGAAACCACACATCCCCACGATGTGCCTTCTCATCTACAGCCAAGGCGAGATCGTCTTCAGAACTGTTGTCCACTTCTGCCACGGCAACTGAACCTTGTTTCTTCTGTTGCCCTCTTCTCTTGGGACAGTTGTACTTCCAATGCCCCACTTTCTTACAGTTGTGACAAGCATCACCTTGCTGTGGACCGGGACCCCTGGAATTCTTGTTCGAATTCCCTTTACCATATTTCTTCTTTACCTTTCCACCTGTAACAGCCAAACCCGATGCCTCACCACCTTTACCAGATCCAGACGCCTTATGCCTGATCTCTCTCGTATGAAAAGCAGACCTGACATCCTCCAATGACACGCTTTCTTTACCAGCAATAAAAGAATCAACGAAATTCTCATATGAACTTGGCAAAGAAACTAGTAGGATTAGGGCAGCATCCTCGTCATTAACTTGAACATCTATATTACACAGATCCAGCAAAATAGAGTTAAGCTGTTCGAGATGTTCCCTCAAAGGCGTACCTTCTTGCATCCTCAAGCTGAACAACCTTTGCTTGAGATGCAGCTTGTTGGTTAGAGACTTAGTCATGTACAGACTCTCTAGTTTCAACCACAAGCCCGCGGAAGTCTTCTTAGCAACGACTTCAATGATGACGTCATCAGACAACGATAGCATGATGGTCGAGTGGGCTTTCTCCTCCAGGGTATTCCACTCATCGTCATCGACCGCTGCCTTCTTCTGTTTCGCAGACAGCGGCCCCTACAGCCCTTGCTGTTTTAATAAAGCCTACATCTTGATCTGCCATATAGCAAAGCTGTTCTTCCCCGTGAACTTTTCGATCTTCATGTTCACTGACGTCATTCTTCTGAATCAAAAACCCTAGCCTGATTTCCAACCAGGCTCTAATACCACTTGTTATAAACGCGCTGCTACGGATCGGGAAATCGCAGGAATCGACAAAGCAAGAAAACGAAAGCGAGAATCGAAAACACGACACACGGTTTATGTGGTTCACTAACACGGTGTGTGTTAGCTACGTCCACGAGCGAGAGAGAGCCAGTTTCACTATATAGAGGAGATTACAGATTACAGAGGAGTATGAGAAGTATTTATAGTACTTCTCTATGTGGGTCTTAACCTAATCCAATCTGGCAAAGGAAACGGTTACAGACCAGGCCCAGAACCCGAACCCAAATAACATTGAGCCCATACACCGTGGGCCGGAGGCGTTGCCCCCGCACCCCCACCGTGGCGTAGCGGCTGATAGTCCGATTCAAGTCATATCAACAGGTCGTTAAATGTATAGGTGGCAAGGTTCTACTCTCTAGTACCCCCCCTCAAAAAGAAAAGAAAAGAAAAACAAAAAAGAGGTAATAAAACGGGATAAATAAAGTAGAGAGTGCCATGGACAACCAAAGTGTATGATCTAGGAGGGGTTTCTTGGCACTCAAGCCATTGAAACCCCCATATTGTTTTAGAACTCCTTCACTACCAAACCATAGTGTGATAGCAAGAGTTGATCGAGGAAGAGTGCTTCAATGTAGTTCACGATGGGTGTTAGTTTGGAAGGGAGAGATAAGGTTTCTCGCCGATGCTAGTGGCCTTTGGTTGAAGAGAAGGGTTTTATTCAGAACCATAGAACCTTCGGATTTAGGTTGAAGATGTAGAATATCACGTCATGATTGCCACCACCCAAAAATCCTTTTCCCCATATCCAAGACAACCGCCAGTCATTTGAACCTGTGTCTAAGACCTCTGGACAAGCTAGTGGTGACAACAATCCGTGAAATCTAGCACTTAGAGGTTACCGCCGTGGTATTGAGACGATAG